TAATAATATATTGATGAAAAAAATAAAAATCTAGAAATAATCATAAAAATTAAAAAGGAATAAAAATAAAAATATAATCTGAATATAAAAAAGAATTAAAAATGTAAATGATAATCACAAATAGTGTTGATGAACAGGTTGTTAAGAAAAGTCACAAGTGGTGTTGATGAACAAGTTTTATCTTGTTTGTTTTTTTATTATTTTTTAAATTTTTATAAATTTTATAATATTAATTACATATTTAATATTTTATTTAATTATTCATTTATAAAATTATTTTTTTATTTTTAATTATTTTATATTAAATTATATTTTTTAAAATATTATTTTTATTATATATTCAGGGTTAGACATTTATATAGTAAATGTTGTGGCTGTTGGCAAAAAAGTTCACTTTTTAACATAAAATATTGTTTTGTGGTGTTTTCTTTGTTTTTACTCTAATAATGGCTTTTTTTCACTCAAAAAAAAGTTTTTAAAAAAAACGATTTAATTTGTTGTCCAAAAAGTTCATATTAAAATCGACAAACTTTTTAGAGTTATATTACCTTAATAAATGGGAATTATAGTTTAATAAAAACTAATCAATAATGGTTAATATTTTTAAAACTTTTTGTTAATAAATGCGATTATTTGAGTCAAATGTTCCGGTAAAAACATCGTAATTTTATAATTTTTTTATTATATTTTTTTAAAAAATAAACTTTAGAATCAAAGCATCACAATAGTTTTAAGACGGCTCTCAAAGCAGAACTCTTGTTAAAAGACCAAATTAAAACGTTTTTATGTCGTAAAAAATATATCTGATTGATTATAATCATTTTCAAAACATGTTTATACAATTCAATTTTTATACTATTTAATTTTGAAAAATAAGTTATTATCTTTAATATAATTTGTAATAAGAAGAATATAGTTTGAATTAATACATTTTAAAATATAGTACAGTTTTGTTAAACATTACAAATAAATAGATTGTGCTCAATATTTTTGGTAAAACTATTAATAGTTTGGTTTTATTTGTTTTTACGACAAAAATCATTTTAAAAATGCGTTTTTAGATGAATTTTATTTTTAAAACCACGTATTTTTAACGCAAATTTAAAAATAGGTTTATTGCTGTTCCGATATACAGTGACCGGAAAAAGGAGCCTGCTAATTTAAAAGGTTAATATTTTTTTCTATATAAATTAGTTTTCTTATAAAAGCTGTATATAGCACTACTCAAATCAAGACAAAAAGCCTGCATCCAATCAAATGATTAACAAAAACACGAAAAAGATTCTGAAGTCATGAACTCAAAAATCAAAAAGTGATTAAAAATTACTTGGCAACTTTCGGTTTGGTTCCGTTCGTTCTCTTCTTGTTGGTTGTTTCGACTTTCTGCTTTGTGAATGCACTTTTCGGTTTTGGAGTTTTGGTTTTGTCTTTGTTGGTGATGTTCATTGTATACTTGAGTATCGGAAACACTGACTCTCTCCCCAAGTTTACTTCTTTTAGTAAATTTAATGAATATACAACAGCTTGCACATCGATTCCGACATTTGAAAGGTCGAACAACTTTTCTTCAATCTCAGAAAACAGTAAGGCAGCATTAAACTGCCTTCTCGGTGTCTGGATCAACGTTACTCTTTCAGAAGTGTTATCTGGGGCAGACAATTGGCGAAATAAAACCTGGTTACATTTGACCCTTTCAAATGTATCAGGGTACACTGCGACAAAGTCAGACGCACTACTCAAGTCTACAAACATCTTGGATTCTCCGGCGATATACCTACACACCAAACCAGATCTGTTAAAAGATGATTGGATGTTTTTGCAAGTAGCAACTTCTTCCGTTCCACTGAAAATGCGTTCAAATGCACGCGTTAAACGTTCTCCTGTTAGATCTCGACTTTGTTTGGTCGAATCCGCAACTATCTGACTGGCTTTCGCCATTTCTTGTATGTAACCATCCATTGCACGTGCCGCCTGTTTTACTATCGTACTTGTTTCGACATTGTGTGGTACTGTGCTTTGTTTGAAACAACTTGTTGTTTCGTTTGTGTATACAATAGTCATTGGAGATGTTTCAGTTCTGTAAATTTCAGCATTCGACTGTAACTTCTTCTTTTAGTTGCCGAACATGACTAAGTCGAGGGGTTGACACAAGTGTGAACTGTGAGGTGTCAAAAAATGAGTTTTGATGAAGTTGGTGTTCAAAAGATGTTCTATTTCAGTATCAACATGACCGCTTAAATTATTTATTATTAAAACAGCGATGACAGTTTTACTCAAGTTGTATTCTGTTTTAATTCTGTTGACTGTTGGAATGAAACAACTAATTAACCATTCGACAAATATTTCTTTGGTGATAAATCCACTATTGGTTGAATAAATTGTGACATATGGATATTTAAGTAACATTCGAGTATCAACAAAAGACTGTGAAGTAATAAAAGCTGGACAGTGGCTCTTTCCATCTGCCGAAATACACGCCAATACTGTTTTGCGTTGTCCTCCTCTGGAAAACCCAATTTTAATACAGCTTGCATCCGAATCCTTCGGAACCAAAACATCAGTTTGTTTTCTATCTGACCATTCCTCAAAGCCTATTTCGTCGATGTTAAACAATAGTTGTGCTGGTGTCCCGTTGAAAATGGTCATTTTCAAATAATTGTCAACAACCTTTTCTGGGTCTACCTTAATTCTTCCGATGTCTTCAGGTATCGCTTTGATCAATTTGAGGTTAAATTTATTTTTTAACCAATGTGACACAGTGTCTCTTGAAATTGACGTCTGTGGTTGTAATTTATTGACTATGAAAAGTACTGCAGATACTGTAACAGCATAACGTTTCCCGGAACAATACTCAAGAAAAAATTTAACAGCGCAAATTGTGGTGTCATAAAACACACTCTTTCTGCCAATTTGACATCTGGTCGAGATAATTTCCTTTTTAGCTTCTTTATAGTGGTCTCCGATTGTACCATATGAAAGGTCAAATAAGTTTGCAACAGTTCTGTCGACTGCATTGAAGTTGGTTTTAATTGTATATATCTGATGTCTTAAAAAAACTGACTGAAAAACAGAAGCATCTTTTTTTATAGATTTGAACAATACTAATGATTCATTGAGTTTATCTTTGTAATGTGGAGTTTGCAAATTGTGAATCATTTCGTCTTGTGTTATGGAAAACCTTTTTAGTGAAATCAACTCACAGTCAACTGGTATTATTCCAGATTGAATCAGTTGCAAAAAATCCATTACAGTTTTGTCGTCATCAACGATATTCAAATCGGGAGTATCGGAAACAAATGGGTTTTGTGGAACAAATGGGTTTGCCTGTTGTGGTGGTGTTTGAATTGATTGTACGTTCAAATTAGCTACTCTGTTTTCACTGGTGATCATTAATATTAAAGATAGTGAATCTACCAACACTTTGAAGTTAAAAATCATGAAAAACATTAGAATAATGTCAAAAATTACATTTTTATAGTTTTTATTTTAATATTAAAATATTATAATATAGAATTTGTTCGCAGGTTCCTTTTTCTTTGACGGCACTTTTTCTTGGATCTGTATATTTTAACATTATTTGTTTCACTTAAAATCACAACAAATAAGTTTTTGCCAAATATATTGGTAAAAAAAGAATTTATTGCACATTGAATGAGTTTTCAAATTTATTATTATTTTTCATTTTTTATTTCTAATATGTTGTATAAAAACAACGAAAATAAACGGGGAAATCAAGCAAACATATGGCATTTAAATAAATGTACCAAAGAAACTTGTTCGGGTTCAGAACTTGCACCTTTTTTACATTGATTGTTTATGATTTAAATACATTTATCCCAAATTGTGCATTAAAAAGAACTAAATAAACATGATAAAAATTCAGAAATATCTAAAAATATTAATGCATAATCATATCGTTAGTTAAATAATACAACAAGAATTAAAAAATAAGTTATAAAAATATTTAACAGTTTTAAATATTGCAAAAAATGGGGAATTTTGCAAATTTACACAACTATTATTTATTAAACAAATTTAAAAACATTAGAAAAACAAAAATTGTTAATCTTATATTCATCGGCAATATTAACGTTTCCAAACATAAATATTCAAGAACAATTAATATAATTTTATAATTATTAAAATAAACAATAATAATTTATACATCAAACCAACTAGTTCAAAATACAAACTAAAACAAACAAATCACATTAAAATTGATCTTTTTAAACATTAATGATTTTTTTAAAAAATACAATATTTAATATGCCAACATTTGATTTTAAATGGTTGTAACTTATAATATACAATTGATTATCATTGTTTAAACCATGTTAATTGTATGATGGTAAATAACAATTTAATACGCCACGTATAAAAAGGTGTTTATTAAAAACGAGTAATGTATAAATAGAAATGTAATTATAATAAATATTAATAATTAACTATATTTTATTAAAATGAATACGTTTTGTTATTTTATAAACAGAAATTGTTCGGGTTCAAATGTTTTTGATTAAATCAAAAAAATTGTTAAAAAATTTGGGTTATGTCTTGTATATTCTAGTTCATTTTTTTCTAGTTTGGTTTGTAAATTTATATAAAAAATGAAGTAGCTTGATTTTGGCAAATTATTACCAAGATCCTTATACATGATTGATCTCATATTCGAGAAGATGTGTTGCCTACTTTTTTGACCAACCAAATTCACAATTAACACTTGAAAAACACTTTTTATTTAAATGAATTCAAATACTCTTTTAATATTTCGGGAATTGAATACTTATTTTTTAATATTATAAATATAGTAAAACAAACTATATTATTAAATCATCATAAAAATAATCAATTATTTACTAAGTGCAAAAAATTGAAAATAAAAACAAAGCTTTTACGCGTTTAAATGATTTGTCGTTGATTTACCACGTCTTATTAAACCTTTATTGTTCTGTTTTATTTTCCAAATCATTAAACAGACTTGTTAACACCACTTATTAAATTCAATATGTTTCACCAAAATCAGTCAATTACATTATAATTTGTAGTTAGAACAGTCAATGAAAAATATCAAATTTTAAAACCATGTAAATTTGAGTTAAAAATCATTCTTCCACCCATGTGTGGATAGCATGTTATGGTGTTGTTGAGTATTTATAACACGTACTTTGTTGAATTTTTTCATTTGTTAAATAATTAGAATGGATCTATTAGTTTTCAAACTAAAAATCAAACTAATAATAAGGAACTGATTAAAAAATTATATTTTTGACAGTGGGAAAAAGCGTTATCGCTTTGCTCGGAAGTATTTTTGCCCTTAGTGGACTCGCAGAACGAGGATGTAAAAAAACTATGTTGCGATGTATTTTTGAGGGTCGCGGTGAAATTGGACGGCGAATTCATCACACAAATTACAGCAGAAGTCGATTCAAGAATTCAAAGAGAAAAGGAGGATGAAACAAACACAATTTGTTTAACTCTTTTTTTGTACTTGTATGTGTTCGCAAAAAAGCGTTCTTTGTGAGAGATATTTTTTACGTTATCATGACAAATTTTGCATTTTTATAGCGACTTTTCAAAAGAAAAAGATTTAGCCGATGGCGTATATGTGTTAGAAATTGAAAAAACAACGACGAGTCGAACGTAGATTTTCAAAGCGACTATTCTCCAGTTTTTTATAATGAGACATTGTTTTTATGTGATACTACTTGACGATAATTATGTCTTTTTTATATTTTAACTCCAATTGTGAATTGCTAATAAATGAGACTTAAAATCGGAAAGCAATATACAATTACAATACTCAAATATTTGTTTGTTTATCGGGTTTTTTCGTGTGTATACAATGCACATTTTCCCTTTTTTGAATAAGTGAAAGTATATTTAAAAACGTATTTTTTAAAAAACATTTTTAAAGCAAAAACATTTATAAAAGAAAAAACAGTTTTTAAGTTTTAAATTAAAGATAGTTACCAAAAAACACAAAATAAATTTATTTAATAAAATAAAAACAGCCAACATACATATCATTATTATGCACATCGAATTTCATATATTGTGTTGACTAAAATCTTTACAATTTACCATTAGCAACAAGTTTTATTGTTTAACTTGACGATGTTTTGAAAACATATTATAAGATTATTAATAATTATTAATATTATATTAGGTCGTTTTTAATGTTTTTCTCGTGGTATGAAATTGAAAACGGCATACGATACAACTTGATACTGTACACGGTTAAGTGATGGTTAAGTATGTAGAAATTTATTGGGTGTCAATTACAATGTTGTTTGGGTGAAACTTGTTGAAACTTCGCCGAAGACTAATAACTTGAATACTTGTTATTAGTATTGTAAAACATTTTTATTTGTAATTAAGAAGGCTAAATAGTGATGTCGTTATTCAAAGTGGTGATAAAGTCTTAAACTATGACAATTGAGATTTAGAAGTGGGTGAGAAACACCGGCGTTTTTAATAACACGTTCTTTAAAGACATTGAAAACAACACCATGAAGAGTATATTTTAATTGCTAATGATGACCAAAGCATATTCAAAATAAAGAACCCCAAATGAAATCTACAAGGAGTTCATGGCTTCATAAATGCAAAACTTCCAAAATGGCATCAACAATAAAACATTTAACGAAATTTAAGTTGTGGTATAAAAATATGTGGTAAGACGAGACACTCATCATGCACACTAAATAACTTGGGTTGTCGTATTAGACTTTTCCAGTGTAGAAACAGCAAGTCATTAAAGAATTTTGATAAAACAATTAATAGTATTAGTTGACTATGAGTGGGGCACAAACCGACTAACGCTGTTCTATACAATTCACCAACATCAACTGATTTTTGGAAATGGAAACGACAACTACTAGAGCGAATATGAAAGGTTATTTCAACAATGGTACTTTGACCTGTTATTGAGCCACACT